GTCTAAAATGGGTCACCACCTTTACACGACAAACTCATTCCCATTATGAATCCAAACACTATATCTACATGTTCGGGAGCTCCTTGGGTCGGCAGCTTTTGAGCCCGAAAACATGCATAGAAAATTTTGCAAGTGGTAGAGCTTGACTCTTTCGGTACACTCAAGAAAATTAGAAAACAAAATCACCAAATATCAAGCAATACTTTTAATCAATCTCTTCATTGTTACTACTTCACTCGTAAACCGGGCAATCACATTAAGCAAGTTTTATTGAATGTTTGAAAATCAAAATAGTAACATTTTGCAGTTTAAGATTTCCGCTATAATAATAATACATCAAATGGTTTCCAATTTGAGGATTAAATGTTAGTTTTTGATAGGCAAACTTACTTTATCTGATATTATATACTGTATCTAACTAATGGTTTGGTTGTAACTAGTTTTCACTTAGGTAGGTACTTTTAAAATAGCATTTCCGCAGTGTTAAAAGTGTGTTAATTTATTTGTTAGCTAACAGTCATTAATAAGTATTAAACTATTCCGAGCCTTAAAAAGAGGAGAGTGTTAGTTTTTGTTATTGTAGATTTAACTTTTAGCAGCGAAAAATTGAATCAATTCAGGGTTGTCTATAAATAAATAAAACTGATGATTGTTTCTTAAAAAGTTCCTCAGGAGAAATAAATATTCTTATCCGACATAAACTAGAAGTTAAACGCTTCATTTCCTATGCGCTATTTATTTAAACAAAAAAGCAAACTATTTCTTCCCCATTGTATGCACATTGTGGCATAAGTAGGATACGCTTTACTATTTTTTAGGCATAAGAGTTTTTTGGTTCTCATATCTGAGTTTCATGACTGCGTTAACGATTTCTGCTCAAATCAGAGAACTCTTTGTTCCCATAGTCTAATTTCATTGTGGATCTTTAACTAAACCTCTTTTTCATGTGGAAAGTTAACTCAATAACGGTTTCTCTATGATACTTTAATATTTTGCAACAAATTTGGATCGATAGGCAAAACCAGAAGTTTATGGTTAGAGTTGAAAAAAATCGAGGAGAGCGAGAAATCGCCGCTTTCATTAATTTTTTTATAAAAATATTTGGCTTTTATTGCGAGACTTTCAGACCATATTAGGACTTATGGCGCTAATGTGGAAACCAATTGTATAACGCTTCCTCAACTATAACTTTTCTTATCAGAAATTATATAAAATATACAAAATGCATATTTCACATATAATAAAAGGTGTCCGAACTACAGAAGTAAAAATTTAAAAATGTCCTAGTAATAGACTAGAATGACCGAAGCACTGAGTGTTTTTTGTGTGGAATTAGCGAAGTTGCACTGTATACGATTTGCGTTCGATGTTTGATCCTTTCGTTAACTTTTTAAATAAACACGTTATTCAGCTCGAATTCCCCACATTAAGGTATTTTAAAATATTGATCAGGTTTTCTAGAGGCAAAAGTTTGGCTACAACTAAAAGATAATATTATATAATTCTTAGGTCAAAAACTTGACATAGTCTCAACGATTCCGATCTGAGACATTTTTCAAATTTTAATGTGATGCTCGATCTTTGAATCGCCAGTCAATCTAAGAAAAAGATCAGTTTCATTTAGAAATAATTCTTATTGTTTCTTCATATCCCATCGCGGGCTTAACGTTTTACCCACAAGACAATTTCCATTTGATCAACGGTCTAATTATTTTGCGCGATTCCTTTACTGGAATGTTTGTATACAAATCAAAGTGGTTTGGGTTGGGCTGTATGAGGTGTGTTTTGTCCAAAAGTGTCTATTACCCTTGAAGCAAATCTGATTATTTGAAGTGGGAAAATGTTATTTTGTTTTTATGTGCAATTTGTTTTATTCCTAGGATAGTTAGTTGCCGCAAAAACACATATATGTCCACGATTGATAAAATTCAAAATCAAAGATTTCAATTTATCAAAAAATCGGATGGAAACATGTGTGTGTAACGTAATTATTTTGCGACATTTCATGGATTAGGTAGGTAAAGGCAAGATCAAGGTTATTATGTAGCTGTTTAATCTAATGTCAACAACATCTATAACATTTTGAACAGTTAGGTAGTAATATGTGGATAAGTTTTCCCTTGATGACATCACAAGATTCCGTAAAACTTTATATACTGGTGTCATTAAACTTATGAACGAGTGATGTTGCAATATTAACTTTGTCTAGTGTTCTTAGCTGATGGGGTGCCCACATTGAAGAGCATTAAAATAGCAGCAGAAAATAATTCACTGAAATCACACAAGAAAATATTGGTTTACAACATAATTTACTTTATTATAATTGCAGGTAACGAAATCCAAGGATTTGTTACGCTAGTAATTATCTTACAATATTCGCATATTTATAACCTGAAAAGCGTAATAACCAATGTTGACAAAGTTTATCAAACCCGCTACGTATTTAATCATCTCGTCTCCTTTATCTGTTAGATAAGCAGCAAATCTATATTTTTTTATTGAACTGGAAAATAGACAGTTAGTCGGTAGACAACGCAAGGTATGCGTACGTAATTTTTAATTAAAATGTCCAATTGCGAACATTGCGGAAGCCCGATTCTTTTGAATAAGGATAATTTCGGTGTTTCAACCCCTTTGTACGAAACTGACGAAAGTTCGAGTTCGAATTGCGGATGGTTTTGTTTCGGGTCGAAAAAATCTGATCCAACTAAGCGGAGCAAATCTCCGGAGTTTCCGACCGAACTTCGTGAAGCACGATATCAAAGGCGTACGATACAATTCGAAATTGATCCAAATAGTACGGTTTTCTCCAGGAGGCTTCACTCAACAGTATCTTCTTCAATATTGAAAGTGTCCAAGGTAAATAAATATTAACCATTGAAACTTGAAGAGTTGAGGTTCATAAAATTTAAATCAACAGACAAAAGTATCACTCAGAAATAGCTTTTCACCACCAATATAGTTGGAATCGGTGTGTTGCTAGAATATTTTCTGACATCTTTAAAATTTTCATAAACAAGCCGAAAAGCAATGTTTACTTACAGATACCTACAATGTTTGATGAAGTGAACAATAAGAATGACTTTAAAATCATGTGGAGCAATATTCTGTATTTTCTTCCATAAATTGGTTTTACTATTTCGAATGTAATTTACACATGCTATAATTTATAATCCAGAGCAAATATAAAATCATAATCAACTCTAATATCGGACTCTTTATCGGACAATAATTAAATTAGATACCACTTAAAAAGCCTATTGAGTTTCGACCTGTTTCTTTCAAGCAAAAACTTAACATTTAATAAATAATTCGAGGCGTTATTTGGTGTACTAACTAATTGAAACTGGAAACTTTTTAAATTTGTATCTGACTTATGGATAAGAAATTAGGATTTTTCTTTTGTCACGATTTTAATCGAATTTATCTCTCTTGGGATCAATTTCAAAATACGTAACTTTGCTAATTTTTTTCGAATAGCTTGTCTCAATAGAAAGTTACTTAGTTTTTTTACTTAATTTTAAGTGCAAATTTATATACATTGCAAAAACATTATAGTAAAATGGACGGTTTTACTGTTACAAGTTTTGAGTTGCTTCTTAACATTTAACATTAAAATTGAGACTTATATTGTCCCTAGTTGGATTACCCAAAAACTTAATACATTTATTATGGCGCTTCTCTATAATAACGTAACAGTTTTTCTGTTCATTTTAATATAAGTCGTTTATTATTATAAATTATTCGTTATTTATTATAAATATAATGAAAGTAAATACTGGCAAAACTCGATTTGGTTCTCCTATAGTTTTTGATGGACAAAAAGTCCTTAAATCCTTTATTCAAATTTTTAAAACCCATGAATAGTGTGACAGTTTTGTTGCATTTAGATTAAACGAACAATTTAGTTTATTAAAATGCCAGAAATTAATCGCTAGAGTTATTGAACATAAACTTTATACCATTAATATACATTTTTTCTTTGTGTTCTTCTTTCACACTTACAGAATTATCATCAAACTGCCTCGGTCGATATCCCTTTATATATACCTTTATTTACCGTTTTGACAAAGAAGTCGTTTTGAAAAGGAAATTTTATCATCAGATTATAACACAATGGCCTCTGATAAGAATAACTCTCTCTTCGAATATTTCGGACGCAAAAATGCTTTGATTTTGTTATGTAGAATAATACCGGCTACTTAAATGGATTTATAGGATAGTGTAATTGATTATGATTGATCGGGTGTGCTTTCAAATGTTTATATTTGCTAATTTCGAAAAATACATGTTACACCAGTACTCATTTTAGCTTTTTTTTCCCGAAAAAACAGTTATCTAGTCAATTTGCAATTTTCAAATGTTAGTCACTTTCAAAAGGAATTGTTTAAACTTAAGTAGGTAAATGACCAACATGAACGATTATTTTATTGTTGTTAGTGATCAGGTATACTTATAAAATGCTCTGTTAAAAAATGTTTGCTGATTTTTCATTTCACTAAAATAACTTTAGGACTAGTCGGTTTTAGAGTTGAATTTTTTTGTGTACGGTTGAAATGTTTTCTAGGAACGTAGCAAAAAATTGGCAAATTCACATTTTTGCGAATGACAATGACACGCGTTTCAAGAAATTAATTCGTTAGAATTTTGCCGTTTCTTTTTCAAGCGTATTTGGTTTTCCAAACTATCATTTTCTTTGATGAATGTGCATTGTTTTCAAAAAGTTGTTTTACATATAAAGAATAGACTTCAAAATTATGGGGATTTGGACTGACAACGCAGACGCAACCCACACGGATCAAAATATTTGCGAAAAAATTAGAAAAAAGCGGAAAGTTCGTGTAAAAATACCAAAGGCAAGAATTTTCCAATGTTGATAAAATGTCCCATATTCATATTTCTTTCCCCAAAATGTCTGATAGAACTGGGATTATTGGAAATAAGTTCCGATTTTAAATAATTATTTAATTAATTAATATAAGGTTTATATTTTGTTGCAGAGAGGGCCAAATGAAACAAAATATGGACTGATATCACCTACACCTAAGCATCATTTAAAGGTAAGAAGAACATACCTTTTGTGTTAAAAGCACTAAGGGTCTTAAAAAAATGCACAAAACCATTTCATAGATGTTTCAGCTCATTTGCATTTATAGTTTATTTAACAGAACAAATTTACAAAAACCGAATTTACGAGTAATTGCGAGCATATTGCAAAATTAAAATTCGCATTAGGTGAACTAATAAAACCAATAGGTAAACAATGTTTTGCGCGCCATTGGGAAGGTGGTGAAGTCAATGCTTTGGTAAAAAATGTGAGTAAAGGTTTTATAAAGTACCAGATGACTATAAGAAAACTTATAATAAAACTGTTTCTGTAATAAATAGTGGGAACCCGATTCATATACGCCACCCCAATTATAAAATTACAAAATTTTACGAGTATATGGCAAGCGTTTCAAATGCTTTACTATTGTATCAGATAACGTTACGTGAGCAAGTAGTTACTGGCTTATTAGATGAAAAATATTGCAACTTATTATTTTTTTGGCGGCATTTAAACGTTATTTTGGCAGCAACTAGCAAGTGAAACCCCGAACAAACGTACAAGCACGTTTCAGCTGAACTGAGTAGAAATTATAGTTATTAATGCTCATGAGAATCGCTGTTTTTTAGAATAACTGACACTTTTAATGAAAGAGATATAAGATATGAGGAAAATAATGTACATGCGACAGCTACTTCCCAAATTTCAAGAAAGTGGTTCCTTTGCTAAAAGCAAAAGAAACGCGCTAAGACTACTTGAAGGGCGAGCCCAAGCTGAAGTTTCTAACTTCATCTCTCTTAACTCCCAATCCTTCATAAGCTCTCTTTCAATGACTCGCGCAGGAAATTTAATAGAAAAATAAACAAAACCGCCGCATTTTAGGTGAGCAATCTGCACAAATCTATATTCAACCAAGAATTTACGACATTTTCAACAGGGCAGCTCCTGTTCTCATTATGTACTTATTTTCATTAATCGTTGAATGTTATTTAACAAATAAATGGATTATAAGGCGATTCCCTATTCAGTAGCCGCCAAAATCTGCAGATCTAACGCCACTTAATTTTTTCCTGTGGGGACACAAATCTGTTGTTTTTAGAACTCAGTCTGAGTTAATTTTGCAATAACAGAATAAACTTTCGCTAATATTTATCAGAAATTGCGGACCAAACTCGATTATGGATTAGCAAATAATTTTAAAAAATTCAGTGATTAAAATTTTAGGGTTGTAGTGGATGAAGGCTAGAGGGTTGGTCGGGTGGTTTACCTCTAGCATCACTTTGGTTCTCCACTTTGATAGAAACGGTTTCGGGGAATTTTTTACCTGTTTTTTTCGTCATGTATAGCCAATGGAAGATTTTAAATTAATACTCTGTATATCAAATGGTTAAAAATCAATGTTTTGCAACATTTTCCGTATAAATTAATTTTATGGCGGCTGCAATACAATCAAAATGCCCAACAACGATGCACTAACAAAGTATGAAACCAATACAAAGTATGAAAAGCACACAAGGATATGAATGAATCGTGGAAATGACTAGCTTTTAAATTTATTAAATATTTCTACCAACAGCGTGCAAAATGTTTTCTCATATATCCCAGGTGTTTACAGATTTTCAGCAATTTTTAGTGAATAAACGTGAATGGAGGCAGGGATTTAATATATATATGTGAAGGAATATGGATAAAGACTTAAAATAATTGCTGAGCAGCACCAGATTATTGTGGGCATGTTCATAATGTGATTTAAGACATATTTCAGCCAGTTTATCTTACGAAGTATCGTGGACATAAAACGAACATTTATTTATGATTCAGCAAGCTTTTGACGAAGATTTAGACATTTTCTGTCAACTTTGCTCTCGCCAATATACTCGGCTGTTTCGTTTGGTTGGATTAATGTATTATTATTGCGTCTTGTAATTCAGTTTAATCAAAAAATAACAAATTTCGTAATAAACTATGTTGCTCTATAACATATAAAACGTGTTTAACAAGTGACTGTTCCAATAGCGTCACGACACTATCAATCTAGCTTATTATATCTAATAATCTAGCACATGTATAAATTACGTAAAACCACCCTTCGAAATGTTTCATTAAAAAATTATATTTTCATTAATATTTTGTTTCAATTGAGCGAACACTCCTGTTTGCTGTAAACTTTGTTCTCATGTGAATTATTAGTGTACTTTATGTATCATTTGAATTGCTGCTGATTTTTTTGAATTTAAGACGACTAAAATTGATTACAAAAGTAAAAACTTGAATTAAGCTGGCAATATTTTAAATATTTAAACATCTACCAGTCCCATTGTTTGCCAATAACTAATTGATAAATGTGAAATGTTCTTTAAACAAATTATAATTGTTCAAGATTTATCAGTGCATTTTAACTCGCAGTTTAAACCAACCCATAATGCACTTTTACAAAACGTTTATAACTAATATTGAAACTGTGTTTGCATTTAGTTACTCCTCGTATTTGCCCATCCGGATCCAGTGTGCGATTCATTATCAAAAGCGGCAGATAAATTGGGTTTTGAAATTACCACAAGTAATACAAATATTGGAGCTTTAGACGAGTATCAGGCCAAGTCGCATGACCTGGTAATAGTCGACACCAGGGCTAAAAATTTCGACAACGACCTGCTCTGCCGGTAAGTGAAATTTGATTTATTAATATAGTTTTTTGGTACACGAAAATATATTAGTAAGCTTCCACTCTACATGACCTATTTATTTTCAAGTATAACGCGATACAATCTAAGGGATTAAATGTACTCCTTTCTAATCTTCGATCTAGTGACGACGGTCCTGGAGAATATTCAGATAATAAAGTAATTTTATTAATCATTTTGGCTCTGACGCATCTTAAACCTTACATCAGGCCACTTGAGACAATGAGCAACATTATAAATCAGAAGTTTGAATCTGTTACGAGTCTGTTAAATTATTGTACTCTGCTAATTCATGCTAAAACCAGTTGCAATTCAGTTGTTTTGCAGAAAAATAGTAAAATGAGTACCTACCTAAAAATAAATGAACAAAATTTAAATATTTCTTGCTTGATTAATTGCTTCTAGTAAGAACTGTTCTAATATAAGAGCAAACATTAGCTGCCTTTAGCTTGATTGAGCCTGATAGTAACACTCCTAGAACCTGATGAGGCTAATAGGCTCAAAACTTAGCCTAAGGTAGCCAGAGATTACACCTCGCCCAATTTGTACTTTTATCGTATCATCTTTTGCCTGCTCTGATAGTTCCGAAAGAAACGGTATTTAGGGTTTAATTGTCAATTGTAATGACCAATTAGTTATGTATCTGAATAGTACGTTTTAACGAAACATTCTATGACAGAACAATTTTTATGATTATGGATTTACAGGGCAATATTCGAAAATCAATCGTTGAAATCGTTGGGATTTTAAATACAATCTAAGCCTTTCTGCAAATTAAAGTATAGTAAGCGAACGCGATTCGTTGTTTTGCCATATTCGCCTTGTTATTCGATAAACCAATTATGTTTTCCAACTGCTTTTTATATTTATGGCATAACTTTTCAGATGAATTTTGGTTTTGAGAAGTTTTTTGCGAAAGAAACGATTTGTTTCCCCTTTCACACTCCTGAAAAAATCTGTATTGCACAATTAGATATAGGGAAACCATAATTCGATATAGAAATATGTTTAATTGTCTTTTGAATCAGTTTCTATTCAATTATAATTCGGACACTGAAAATTGATGGACTTGACTTTCTAACAAAGTTTTGCATGTTCTCAAGGAACAATGCCATATAAAATTATTCGGAAGTAAAAATACAGGTTCCCACAATATAATGTATCAACAGTTATCTTGATATTTTTGGCGAATAGCAGTAATTTAATCATTATAAATTCAAGTAAAATAATTGAAAAATTAGAAATTCCTAAAGTGTGGCACAAAATAATATTTCGTGCTAAAATACTGAAAATGTTATAATCGAATCAGTAAAATGATTGCCTATTTCGTCCATATAGCACTCAAATGCATGTCCCTTTTTTTACAAAATTCACTCCAACAAGCAAAATATAGAAATAATAAATTTGCTCGTATGCCTAGTGTGTATGTTTACATGTATTTCATTCCATGTCTAATTAGAAACTTGAACTGTAAAACCTGTTTTAGCATCATGTTTTTTTGCATGGAATTCTGAATATAGCTAAACATTTTATTAAAGAAGAAACTAATGCCACTGACTGAAAATTATTCTGTGGCCAAAATAAGTTCTACCGAACGTTCTCTCGATTTTAGTTAAATAATCAAATACAGTATAAATTGATATAACTTTAAAAATTAAGGTGCAGCTTAAGGTGCAACTTTTTTATAGTTTATCATTAATCGGGTAAACAAGCTCCTAAATATTTATTTTAAAAAGTTTTGATTCAAGATTGCTTGAACTGATTGCTATTACCACGATATTTGTATTACATTGAAATTATTATTCAATAATACATATAATTGCCTAAATACTACCGTAAACGCTCGAAAACCTCATCGATATTAAAATCCAATGGCTAATAGATTTGAAACCAACCGTATTGCGAGCGAAATTACACCAATTCTACTTAAGGAAACTCATTCTGGATAATTTCATTGTTACGGCTGTCGTCAACGGCGTTTTTATTTAAGTGTTCAGTATATTACAGAAAAAAAAAAACGTTGAAATTACATGAAGTGTCTAAAAAGGCTGGAGATCTGAACGCAGATGTCAAAGTAAATTTCCTTTTCTTTATTCTAAACGATCGAAAAGCATTAGAGTTTGTTATATTACTTTCTCTAGATAGTGCAAAGCCCCATTTTGTCATGTAACAACGAATTGATCGAGTTATTTCCATCCCAGAACAATTCAGATGGAAAAGTAGTAGTCGCGTTTTCTTGTCTGATCCAATTGATTGTCTTGTACAAAGAATTCCCACAGGTATTGTGGTTGTTTCCAGTTGATTTTCGGTTCTTTAGTGTATCGAGTTATCAACTAGAAAGCCGGCGAATTGAAACTTATACCCTGAAGGATTTTCGTTTTATGGCTTACAAGAGAAACCTGCTAACATCTATCTGTGCGCAAATCACCAATCTTTTTAGCTCAAGGGGAAGCAGAGAAATATAAAGAGAAAAATAAATCTTAAAACCGAGCGTTTCAACTTGTTCCTGCCGGATATAAAGTCTGCTTTAGAACGTGTGATTTTGATAATAATAATTAGCAGCAGTTCAAAGTTTCATATCAGTCCGCTCATTCGATGGCCAATTTTAAATGGGAACAAATCAAATTTCGCATACTTTTCGCTAATCTTCCGATGACATTATATGACTTTGAGATTTATCTGAATTCGAAATATCTTAAGTAGTCACCTGTTTGCTCAGTATTAATTTTTAATCCGATTTATAGCCACTTCAACATACAATATTTTTACCATTATCAAGGGATATACAGGTTTCTGGTTTGTTAAGTTTGCGTTTATCAGATAAGTCAATCAAGTTCATATAAATTATAATTTTTGTCTGTGCACGCCTTTATTTAATTATGAATATATCCATTGCCAACTTATATGCATTCCACAAATCATTAATTTCGTGAAGGACTGGTTTTAATTGGCAAACTTCGCTAGAAAACTGGAATAAACTATGCGAGTAGCTTCTTGGTAGAAATTTGCAGTTGTAAAAGAAAAAGGCTTTTAGCAAATTGGCTGGTAATGCTTCGGAATTCCCGATCTCACTAAGGAACATCTACTTTGTGAATATCGACTTGGGATATTTTATAAATCATCCTTTCAGCTAGAAAGATGATTATGAAAACCAAGACGAGTCTATTTTAGAATTCTAGTCTTATTTGCCTTCTTTCTGGAATTATGATTTCATTCTAAATTGTTTACGGGTTTTTACATTTTCGATATTAAATTCTCTATCGTTTCTTCTTTTGTGCCTATTTTCTTCAATATTAAGTTCGTTGATCTTCTAAGACTCTGTTATAGTCTCTATTCTAACGAAAATTTCCGAATAAAAAACGCCTTCTACTGACAATAAATAAGCCACAAATATAAAGACCCCGCCTATTTTATAAATTAAATTTTTACAATTGAATCGCGTAGAAATTTCCCTGTTTTTGTTACGTCTTATCGCATTGATTAAACTAATCTTAATCCGTTGGATGATGAAAGGCTACTTTATAGTTGAACGAATATACAGGTTAGGAGCTGTCCAAAATTAAGCTTTTTGATATAAGCAACAAGATCGTTGATAAGTTTAGGGTTTTTAGGATAACTGAGGTTTTTTGTTGAGTATTAGATATTCTAGCTTTTGGAAATTTAGATTGACTTGAGAAATCTCACAATGTCAGGAATAATAATATTCGCTAGTGAGGCAATTCAATCTCTCATTGCTAGTAAACTGTTAAAATATTTTACATCCTTAATCATTAACTTAATTCTTAACTATAGCGAAACAGTTTTTTCCTTTCCATTTAGCCAACTGTCTAACTTTGCTATTCTATTAAAATAGAGTTCAAATATTGGGGCTAATTCGCTATATGAATATATATCTATATGTTTTTTAATTACTTATAACTAATTAATTATCAAGCTGAAATCTGAAATATAATTCAATTTTCACTATACGGAATTGATAATCCTTTTTTTCTGAATTTTTCAACTCTTGGAGCCCAAAACTGTATGTCAACGAGATCATTAATCATTTTATATCTTCAACGGCTCCCGGAATCTTTGCAATTTTGATAAAAGATAAATCTGTACTTACTCAACTTTGACTGAACTGAATCTTTTGCCATTTTGTGCCTTCAACTTTCAGTTTGCAGTTTTCACCTGTGGTTTTTGCTTTGAACTTGATTTTCCAGTTTTAAAATGAAAATGTATAGCATGACATAAAATATTTATACACCGAGCAAAAATGGTAAATTTGTATATAAGAAATGTTTAACTCTGTACGGCGAAACTAAAATGTTATTTCATATCTTTGTTAATCCACAAATAAACTCCAGAAACATGGAAAGAGATCCTAAACAATGCCAAGTTTCATATTTAGTTTAAAAACAAATTCCACAGTCTTATTTTAGCTTATTTTTTGTCTTCAGATCCTCGGTTCATACTCAACTAATTAATTGTTTGAATGCAGGTATTCCTTTCAGTCTTTTAGTGCAAATCATTGATATCGGTATATTAGTTTTTTAATTGGATTTGCTTCCATTTTTAATGTCATCTGCCCTTTTTACCTGCAGGCATCAGTGCAGTTTAAACCACTTTAAGCGTGCTACAATGGGCTTAAAAATGTGATTATAATCCTGGCTTGCAATAATGGCGAAAAGCTTCAATTAGAGAGCTTGCATTTGAAAGTCAAATATTCTCATCTCTCGGCTTGTCGATATTATGCGCGGACTTTCCAGAACCTTTTGCGAAACAAGTAAACCTATTTGGCTAAAATCTCCAGCATTGTTCTACCTAAAACGATGTAGATTACGTCTGCATAACATATTTCATGAAACAAAACTCGGCACATTATTAAATTGTCAACTAGTTCGAGGTAAGCTTTAGCTTTAAAGCAAATTTGTATAGCTTTATGCACGGCTGACAATTATTCACGATATAAGCTACCTAGGCTTTATATTTTAGAC